TCTGACTGCTACATAAGGGTCGTCCACCACCAAACCTCCTATGCCATCATTAGCTCCAATGTCACTATCATGGTCATCATTATACTCAGTGTCAGTATCACCATCCATTGCATCATCGCCTCCCACACTAGCGTCACTGTCACAATCCTTCGCGCCGTCACTCACTCCCACAATGTCACTATTATTGTCATGGTCACTAACCCGAGGGCCCCATGTGAACATGCCCTTCCCAGAGTGCCTCCAAAGTCTGTCCACATGGACCACTTTGGTTCTCCGGCCGGATCCCGCAGGTGCGATGCGGTAGGTGACAGCAGATATCCTTTCAACAACAGTGTACGGACCCTCCCACGGACTCTGGAGCTTCGGTGACTTCCCAGGCCTCTTGCGTGGGTTGTGAAACCACACCTGATCCCCATGGGAGTACACTGCGTCCCTGGCCCATCGCTTGTCCTGCTATCTTGAGGTGCTGACTTGCTCGGTGCCTGGTCTCCTCCATGCGACGCTGCAGGGTCCTTACGTATTCGGTGTGCGGTACAGGCAATCCTTCGTCCGGCGGCTTTCCTGTTGCGAGGTCGACTGGGAGGCGGATCTCACGGCCGAACATCAGGCGTGAGGGCGTGAACCCCGTGGCCTCGTGTTCCGCTGCACGATATGCCATCAGCATGTACGGGACCCACTCATCCCAGTCATGCTGGTCCTCCTCGCAATACTTGGCTAGTTGTGTGACCAGGGTGGCATTGAACCTCTCCACCATGCCATCACTTTGGGGGCGCAGGGGTGTGGTGCGGGTCTTGTGGATCCCAAGGAGACGACAACACTCCCTAAAGACCCGACTCTCAAACTCCCGGCCCTGGTCTGAATGTAACTCACCTGGGACCCCAAAGCGGGTGAAGACTTGGGTCACCAGGAATTCTGCGACTGTTTCTGCTTCATGGTTGGGAAGGGCTCCAGCCTCTGGCCACTTGGAGAAATAATCCATGGCCACACAAATATATTTGTTTCCCCTTTCAGTGCAAGGAAAGGGCCCAGCGATGTCCACGGCCATGCGCTCCATGGGTGCCCCAGCCTGGTACAGTTGTAGAGGTGCACGTGTCTTCTGTGCAGGCCCCTTCTTTGCTGCACACACCTGACAGGTCCTGCACCACTCCTGGACATCCTGTCGTAGGCCAAACCCAGTACACGCGCCGCCGCAGCTTCTCCATTGTCCTCTTGATCCCTAAGTGGCCACTGGTCTTCCCATTGTGCACCTCCTTCAGCAGTCCCTCACGGCGAGACAGTGGTGCCACTATTAACCACTGTTGCTTTCCCGTAGCAGCATCCACCCAACTCCGCTGCAATACACCATTCTCCAGGCGCAATGTCTCCCACTGATCCACAAGAAACTTGGTTGCTGGGCTTTCCGGGGATACAGCCTCCCACTGTGGCCGTTTCTTGCCTGCTTCGAGCCACTGTATAACTGGTGCCAGGTCCTGGTCCTTCTGCTGGTCCTCCCTCCACCTCTTATCGGCCTCTGCTATACTCTCACTAACCACCAACCTCCGACAGGATCTCAGACTCGCAACGAAAACAGTGATTACAATCAGGCTCACAAGGGCGGCGGCTGAGACTATCAGCATTGCTATGAACACGCCCAGCACGATGCACTACCTGGTAATTGTACTGTTCCAGCTTCCCAAGCCATCTTGCTAACTGGCCTTCAGGCTCTTTCAAGGTCTTTAACCATCTCAGGCAGCATGGTCTGTACGGATTGTAAACTGTGCCCCATATAGGTAGTGGTGGAAGTGGGAGAGTCCCTTCACCACGGCTGCCAACTCCTTGCGAGTGACGCAATAATTTCTCTCAGGCTTGGAAAACTTGCAACTGTAGTAGGCTACCACATACTCCTGGCCATCTTTGAGCTGAGACAACCGCACCGACACCTTCCTGACTGGCGTCTGTGTCTAAGATGTAGGGAAGACTGGGATCCGGGTATGGCAATACTGGTGCCTCTACCAGAGCTTGCTTCAGGGCTACAAAGGCTTGATGGCATGCCTCGTCCCACACAAAACTCGCTCCTTTCCTTGTCAGCTGATGCAATGGTGCAGCTATGGTGGCAAAGCCTTGCACAAATCTCCTGTAATATGTACACAGTCCCAAGAAGCTTCTCAGCTCGGCAACAGTCCTTGGCACTGGCCAGCTCTCCACTGCTGACACTTTCAATGGGTCCGTCCGCACTCCTTGTCTGCCCACCACGTGACCCAGGAATGGCACCTCCGTATGAAAAAGGGTGCATTTCTTGGGGCTGAGCTTTAAGTTGGCAGCTTTGAAACGACACAGCACCTCTGTCAGGTGCTCCAGCTCCTCCTCGAAGGTGTTCCCAAACACCAACACGTCGTCTAAATATACCAAGGCCACCTTCCACTGCAGTCCCTCCAGTACTTGTTCCATCAGGCGTTCAAAACATCCAGGGGCGTTGCACAGACCGAAGGGCATTAAAGTGCCACAGCCCCTGACCAAAAGAGAATGCAGTCTTCTCTTTATCTTCCTCTTGCACTTCCACTTGATGGTAACCAGACTTAAGGTCCAATGTAGAAAACCATTGAACCTTGGAGAGTGCGTCCAGCGTATCATCAATGCGAGGCAAGGGGTAGGCATCGGTGACGGTGACGGCGTTCAGAGCTCGATAGTCCACGCAGAATCGTTTGCTCCCGTCCTTCTTTGTCACTAGCACCACTGGGGAGCACCAAGGACTGTTTGAACGCTCTATAATACCGGCCTTTGCCATCTCCTGTACTGCACACTGCATCTCCTCTCTCTTTGCAGGTGGTACTCGACGGTGCGCTGCTTGATGGGAGGGGTATCACGGGTGTAAATGTGATGTTTCACCATCGATGTGCGTCCTAAGTCCATATCTCCCTGGCTAAACACGTCTGCATACTGATTAAGCAACCGTCGCACTTTTCTTGCTTGCTCACTTGTTAGATGCTTGATGCTCCGTTGAACTAGGTCCTCCAGGTGGCTTGGTATTACTTCCCGTTGCACTACTAGCTTGGCCTCCTTTCCTTGTGACTGCAGGGTGTCTTGTGTTGCAAGATGAAATGAAGTGGTAGTGGGATATGTGAGTCTGGTAACTGCGCACATGGCCTTATCCCGAGTGTGTTGCTTGTTCACATTCTGCTGTTTCCTCCCTTGCTTCGGCTTTACCTGTGCCACTAGGGCATGTTCTCCCAGGATTAGAGGCACCTCATGACCTCTTACTGTCATCCTTCTTCTCTGGAGATCCACACACGCCTCCACACGTGCCAAGTAATCCAGCCCAAGCAAGCAGGGATCCTCCATCTCGGCTACAAACACTGGTAAACGTTCTATCACGTCACCCACATTTAGGCTCACCCACACTGGGCCTCTCATGGGTATACAATCACCAGTAACACCGCATAATTTCTGGCCAGCCTTAGGTATACCACAGGATACAATCAGATCCTTCCTGATAAATGTCAGCTCTGATCCTGTGTCCACTACCATCTCCACAGGGCGCCTGTTGATCTTGCCAGCCACTCTCATGGCTGTGGGCGCTGCCACCTGCCGATATCTTACGTGTACTGGGGCGACATGGTGTCTTGCTGGGCAGCCGCCCCTTCTCCCAGCTGGTCCATGTTTCCCTGCCCCAGTTCCTGGCACTCCTTAGTTGAGTGGTCCTGATCTCCACATGCCCTGCAACAAGGGTGAAAGATGGGGCGACGGTGATCCTTTGTCGAGCGAGAACTGTTGGCACCACCACTAGTACACTCGTTCCTCCTGTGTCCCTTCAGTCCACACCTCCACACCTCCAGCAAATGCCTTGGAAGCCATCAGGGTTTGTTCTCCTTGAGGGAGGGGATCTTTCAGCCAGGGTCCTCCTCACATGTATGTGGCGTGGGCTACGTGTCATCTCTCCCCTGTAATAGCTTGGCGTGGCGGTGAGCAAGAAAGCCTCAAATTCGGCTGCACGCGCCAATGCTTCCTGTACGTTGTGCGGCCCTGCTTGCTTCACATGGACCTGAAGCTGTTTGTCATTTAGTGCGTCCACAAAGCTGTCCTTGGCGAGCATGTCAATGGTCTCTTCTGTGGCCATTGGATATGCCCCACGCACCAACACCTCAATATCCTGTGCCAGCTGTGGAAGGGATTCATCCCGCCTCCGTGTCCGTGTCTTTAACTGAGCGCGGTACACCTCTGGCTGCTGGCGACGGCCAAAGCGGCGTTGTAAGGCCCTCACTACACAGGTATAGGATCGCATCTGGGCGACGGTCAAGTGCTCTAACACCTCTACAGCCGCGCCCTTTAAGCTGATGACAAGCTGGTATGCCTTTTCCTCATCATTCCAGCCTTGCCTCCTAGCTACAGTCTCAAACTGGGCCTGAAATGCATTCCACGATACCTTACCATCATACTCGGCTAGTCGCTTGTCGATCATGGCTGCCCGTGCCACATCCGTTATTCCCAGCTGGTCCTTTGGAATGCACTTTGTACTCGGCGGGGGTGAAGGAAAGAGGGGAGGGGCAGATGGGCCCTCCTCTTCAGCCTCCTGTTGAGACCAGGGAGTTGGTGCCACTTCTGGCGGGTCTTGTTCCCGTAGCCCATGGTGCAGTATTGCCCTCAACTAACACCTGCCCCTGCACTGACGTCAAGACTGCCGACGAAGCCATCATTTGCCGATAGGCCTCCACATCCCTTGTCACTGCTGCCAGCTGGTGTTTCATGGCCTGCAGTGGCTCCTCCACTTCCATTTTAATCTCCCACTTTACACGAGCACAAACATCATTGGTATAGTCTCTCACCCGTGTTTCCATCGCATCCAGCTCTGCCTTCAGTGTATACTTCAATTCACTCATTGCCTGCAATTGCTGTGCTGCTTGCTACGCTCTCTCTTCAGTGGCCTGTACTGCCTGCCGTTCCATTGTCTCCCGTGTTTGTGACAACAGTCGAATTATGGTGTCCAAATCCACCCCTGTTACAACAAGGGATGATGGGGTGGTGTGCCTGCTGCCTGTCTGGTAGGCACTACCTGCTCTCCGCCATTTCCTGCGTGCCTTCTGTCCTGTCGTCCGCCATATTATCAGCCATTGCGTTCCACCGGTACAAAGGACTTACTCACTTTTATCACTGTACGCCTATTTAATCCCACTCCTGACACCAATGTTACGTAACGCACTGTCCCACTGGGTTCGGTGAGCAGCCTTTGACGAGTGTTTTCTTACTCAGGGCACTGAATGGAGTTGGCGGGGTGAAGGACAAACAGGTAGCAATCCACGGTTTATTGGCGTGCCACAAAGTTTATTTACAGGAACTCTCCAAGACGGTCACCTCACACACACAGGCACAACTTAATCACCATAATTTCGTCTATGTGTCCACCTTAGAGAGAGCAACACAATCGAGATCGCAGCTACCGTCACGGACCGTCCTCGCTCTCCCAGATCTCGTCTCGAACAGCCCGCCACTCCCTTCTCGGAGCCAATCACGACGCCGGATTCTCGTCCCGCCTTGCAGGCAGCCAATCGCGACGCCGGATTCTCGTCCCGCCTTGCAGGCAGCCAATCACGCAACGGCGCGTTTTTGGCGGGCTTTTCGGCGCCCCGAGCATACACATATTTTGGCGGGCTTTTCATTGCCACGAACACAAACACACTTACATTCTTATAGTACACTTTTTGTAACAATATATATATATATGTTTATATATATATTTGTATGTATCTATATAATATATATACATCATATATAGTACGTATGATACATACATAAATACATACGTACACACTTACACACACAAACACACATGTATAAACATATGCACACACACACAAACACATCTATATATATAGATGAATGGAAAAACTACCTTGTTTATACTAGGGTAAAAAAACCTGCAATGTACAAACTATGTTCACTGAAGTAAGTGAGACAACAGTTTCGGAATCGAAAATCTCCAAGAAATCCCAAGAATCCTAAAATCTC